ACTTAGGGCAAAATGTTGCTTTAGGGGAGGGGTAGGTGGGCAGTTTCCCACCATGTTTTGTTATGACACACATTGTAAAAGTCACTGGTAAGGCCCTGTTTGGATGAAAATCCAACCATTGACATGGCCTTGAGACAGTGACTTAGGACAGCAGAAATGGTGACAAATACAGTGGTAAAATACTCACAGCGACTCCTAAGAGGACCTCACTGATAAGCTATTTTGTGCAAGTTGTTCTAAAAAGTTGAAAATGAAACTAAGCAAATTGCTATAAATTCCTCATTAATTTAATGGCTTAACAGAAAATAATAATAATATACAGAAAAGAACTTACTCATTGCTTGCATTGTTCATAACATTACATCGGCTTGTGAAAAAGAATTTAGTTGAATGATGAGTTTTTAAGCTTTACATTCCTCAATGGGAATGGGTGTTGTTGTGTTTGAGGAGTAGGTTAGTTATTGAGTAAATTTATAGGAAGGGCAGGCAGTCAAAAGACTACCCCTGTGTGGTTGTAGGTCTACTACTCGTGAAGTGGTGCCCAATGGTTCAAAAAAGTGCCCCCACTTTGGGAAGACCCCCCCCCCCCCCCCCCCCCCCATCGGTTAGAGACAACTCTCTATGCTGAATGATCAGCCAAAGTTAACCTCCCAAATCTTTCCAAGTCATTAAACTTGGACATTTCACCATAGTTAATAAAGGGGAATGGTTATGAAGTTGATTAGGCTCTGAATTTGTTTTTTTTTGTTGACCTGACGGTGCACAATGTTCAATAGCATTCCTATCTTTGTAATCTATGTTGCATCAATTTATTCAGTCATAATTTGTGAACAGAAAATAAAGTATAGTTTGCACTGTCAGGAAGCTTCTAACATAAATTACAGCATTTGTTGTCTTTATCTTTGATAACCAGTCTTTCTGTCTTTCATAACCAGTCTCCTGTAATAACTGTGACTCAACAGGTTAAAAATAACAACACAATGACCTTCACAAGAATTCTCACTTCAATGTTGTGATTTTAAAGAACCATAGATCTCCAGACAACATTGATGTATCAATAGATGGGATGGATGATCTACTGTTTATGAACTCCCTTGTTATTTTTGCCAAAAGCATTTTAATATTATTTTGTTGAAATTGTTACATTTGTGAGAATAAATGCCTCTTTCCTTAAAATGCCTCCTATCTTTTTAATGCCCCTTAATGATAAATAATTTATCATATATAATAGCATTATATGTTATTTTTACTTGCAGGTCTTGCTAGATTTTGTGAGAGTATTGTTGACTACATAGCAAATGCTGAAAATGCACCATACCCAGATATAACTGTGGACAGATTTCATGGTGAAATCTCTGCAGCTTATGATGTTCTGTTTAATGTGTGGATCAAATCAAATGAACCAAAGGTGATGATCATATCATGATGGACTATTATACATTTCTGGGAAACTGCCCACCTACCCCTCCCCTAAGCCAACATTAACACTTACTTCTCACTTAGGACAAAATGTTGGCTTAGGGGAGGGGTAGGTGGGCAGTTTCCCACCATGTTTTGTTATGACACACATTGTAAAAGTCACTAGTAAGGCCCTGTTTGGATGAAACTCCTGTGACATGGCCTTGAAACGGCGACTTAGGACAGCAGAAATGGTGACAAATACAGTGGTAAATACTGACACCGACTCCTAAGAGGACCTCACTGATAAGCTATTTTGTGAAAGTTGTTCTAAAAAGTTGAAAATGAAACTAAGCAAATCGCTATAAATTCCTCATTAATTTAAAGGCTTAACAGAAAATAATAATAATATACAGAAAAGAACTTACTCATTGCTTGCATTGTTCATAACATTACATCGGCTTGTGAAAAAGAATTTAGTTGAATGATGAGTTTTTAAGCTTTACATTCCTCGTTCTCTTGTTCAGTCATTTTATAGATTCTCTTTCAAAGAATGTTAAAACTGCATTTCTTATATCTACCAGCAGTTGGCCCTACAATTTACCTGATATTTTTTGCAAGGTCTAATAATAACAGATCTAAAGTTTTCTTAGATCTGCAAGCAGTTGGCCCTGCAATTTACGTGATATTTTTTGCAAGATCTAATGATATTGTCTTTACCTCATGGTAGAAGTCTTGGACTACACAGGTAAATTAATTAAAAGTTCATTGGCTTGTTGTTTTTATTATTTTTGGCAATCTAGGTTCGCCTTGCAGTCGTGGATGCTGTTGGTCACATGACTCTCATTATGGCTAAGGACAAACTTGAGGAGCAGTTGCCGAGGCTACTTCCTGGAATAACGGGTCTATACAAAAGGCACACAGAGCACTACCTTATTACACAGGTAAAGACAAAAGTATATTGAGCTTGCACCTTGCATATGTGATAGAGGTGTGTGCTATAAATAAATGAAATAATTAAGAATGATTTAGAGGGATACCCCCATAGCGCTTCTTCGCCTACCATTCCTGGTTCAAATTGGAAATTGGAAATATTGGTTTTTGAGGAGAGGGGAAAACTGGAGTACCCGGAAAAATAACCTTTTAGCACAAAGGAGAGAACCCGTAACAAACTCAACCCACATGTGGCATCAATGCTGAGATTTGAACCCTGGGCATTGGTGGGAGGCGGGCGCTCTGACCTTTGTGCAACTCTTGCTCCCCCTTATAATTATTAAGCAATTATCCCTATTTCATCTAGAGATTTTGCCAAAAAATACTATTTGAAGCTTCAACAATTTCTAGTCTACCATTATGCCTTTTTCTTCTGGTGATTTTGCCTAAAAATACTATTTGAAGCTTCAACCATTTCTACTGTAAACATTGGGAACAAAACATCAAATGGAACGGACCATTTCAGTTTCATCTGACCGGAATATTCGGGGCCTGCTTTGAAGGTGGTCCACTTTGATCCGTCCGGTTATCTCGGTCGGTTGGACCAAAATGTCCCTGTCCATTTGACAAAATTGTTGTCCCTGGTACCACTCTTTTGTATCCTGTGTAACCGGAATGTCCCGTGGAATGTACCGTTCCAAAGGGCACGTGGAATTTCCGAAATTTCAAACCGGAATTTTTGTTCAATGGAAAGCGTCCATCCTGTACCAGATGAACACAATTTTGATGTGGCTGAAAAGTGTTTGAATTTATTAGCGATCATTTTCACAAATTAATGTTGTTGTTATTTTAATTCACTGATACCAGGGTCTTTGCTTGGTGTTAGAAGCTTCATGTAAAGATGGTGGAGCAATTATCTCGCCTTTAATTGACAATTTATTAGGAGGATTGCACAGCATGGTAAGTGCTGAAATCCTCCGTACGTCTGCTTGGGTTTAAAATTGATAACTAGGTTTCTCATTATTTTGATGTTCAGAAGTATGTAATTGGCTGTTTTCTTTCTTGGCTTTCCTTCCCTTCATGAGTCAGGGCAGTCACTAACAGCTGAAGGCTTGGGGCTGAGGATTTCCCCTAGGCTACTATGAACATTACCCCTACAAAGAAATAAAACTTCACAGCTTCTTGGACTGAAGTAAACCCAATGAACTAGACTTGCTACGAGTCGCCCTTAAGAGTTTCTTTAGCGAGCGACGAAGTCGCGAGAGGTCCTGTCCCGCGCCACATTAAATTGGAGGAAGGTCGTTTTTGAAAGTCTACCAATGAACTTCTTTATCTTTTCAGGCGTGTAACTTACCAGATTATTCAAATCCAATTTCTGTGAAAAACCACAATGAAGTGTTGCGATGTTTTTCTGTACTAAGTAAGTACCGTTCAATATTAGTACTTTCTAATACTCTAAGAGTATTGAAAAATGTTTAGGTCAAAAGTACAGTCAAACTCCTTTAATACACACACTCAGAGGCCATAGAAAGTGTCCATATTAAGCGTGTTGTATTTAGATAAATTTGCAATGCAAGGGTTTTTTTCCCCGGGACAAGGCAAACTGTTGGTAATAACTAGGTGTCCGTATTAAGCAGGTGTCCGTAGAGCGGGGTTTTACCGCAGTAATTAATCTTCTTATTTATTTTAGGGGATGGCTTTATTAATTAGGAATGAATTGCATTACTCAGGTTTCGTACTCTTTGGAGCTCTTCAAATTCCATGACATTTCATTACTTTTCCATGACCTTTTAAAGTTTTTCAAGACCTTACCTATGGCCAAGGCTTATGGGAGATGGTCCACGGCTCTACGAAAACGCAAAGTCATCTCCGTGCACTTTTTGGGGTTAAGAACCATTATTGTTTGTAGCAGCCCAAGTGCTGATGTTGTCAAGTTCAGATTGCGAAATTGACACCCCGCGTGCCGCTGCAAATTCTGATATAGTGATGTCATCTACATACTTCCAGTATGAGCAACGCGGGGAGGCCAATTTCAAATCGTCAATCATTATTACAAAAAGTATAGGACCCAGTTTGGTCCCTTGAGGGATCCATGGTATGATAGAGCAACGCACCCCTAAGTCGATTAGCTTTCTAATAACGAGGGTATGGTCGATCCTGTCAAACGCCTTGCTTAAGTCAAGCAAGCAGGCTCTCAAATAACAACCAGGATTATCAAGCTCAGAGAGCCAGTTGTGGATGAGATCGAGTAGGCAGTAAGTGGTGGAAGATCCTTTAAGACTACCAAATTGGCGACTATCAATATGCTCGCCAACATCCTCGATCATCCAAGAGACCACAAAATCTTCCAAGACCTTAGACAAAATCGTGGTTAAAGAGATACGTCGGGTGTCGCTCTCACATAGAGGTTGTTTTACCTTCGGAATGGGTATGATGTTAGAACATTTCCACAGAATTGGGACTTGACCGGTAGAAAGCGATGTGTTAAAGATCTTTGTGACAGGCTCGGTCAGTTCGTAGGCAAGTTCTTTAATTATCCGAGGCAAAATGCTGTCAGGCCCCATAGCCTTGTTTGTTTTTACATGCAAAAGCTTTTTGCAAACCACGTGGGAATGTACAATAAGCACTTCCTCAGCAGATGGTAAAAATGATGGGAGGAATGACTTACCAAGTGGTGGAATATCAGCAGCTACGGTTGCGTAGTACTGATTTAGAGACTCAGCAAGTTCGCCCTCTGACAGCACAACGCCGTCGCGCTCCAGGGTGAAGCAGGACTGGCTATAAGTTCTTCCCGACAACACATTGACAGTACGCCACCACTGGCGAACATCATCTTTCCGTGTGTTTCGTACTTTTTCCTCATAAAATTTCCTCTACCTTGCTTTAATCTCTGACTGTACCTTACGTCTGTAAAGGCGCCACAACTGAGCATCACTAGAGTGAAATGCTTGCTGGCGCTCCTTAATTAGCTGTTTTATACGTGCAGTTATCCAGGATTTATCAGTTGGATGAAATCGAACAGTAGAAGTTTTTTCGTTCTAGAATATCGTAAATGGTCGACTGCGGCGTTGACGGCGGCAGTAAAAGATGAGGCAAGGTCATTTGCCGAGGGACTGGGTCCAAGTCCGTGGAATCACTCGTTCAGTCCCGCCCATAGGCCAAAACCATTCAAACCAGACTCAGGATAACGACGCACACTGCGCTTTACAGTAGGTGTCCACATGATTGAATTATGGTCCGATGAACCGAGGGGAGCAAAAATGTCAGGTTTAGCTGTCACTTTCAAAAATTCTTAGGACCTTCTTTGTTTTAGGGTATTTTTGGACCTTACACAGTTCAACAGACACAAACTCTGGTGCCCACCAAAATGCGTGCCGTTCGCGCTGTTCAATCACTTCTCTCTTTGTTACATTGTCCTTGCCTTGTCATCGGCAGTAACTAATCTATCAAACAAAACTTTAATTTTCCATGACTTTCCAGGCCTGGAAAATGAAATGCTCAAATTCCATGACTTTCAGGTTTTCCATAACCTGTACGAACCCTGTTACTACATTGTAAATCAAAATTTAGCCTTGTGCCAATTAATAAGGAATGCTGATTGGTGTGTTGCTGACAGAGATATTCTAAATTGGGCAAACTTCAAAAAACTGTTCATTTGTTTGGAACGTGCATGCAAAATATGTGCAATCGCACGTCCCTGCAAATACTGAATCATGTAAGAGCTCACAGATACTAAAGAAGAAGGAGTGAATGGAATAAAGCTCTAAGTGTCTTTTGATAAAATGTCAAATTCTCTCTTTTGTAATATCCACGACGCACACACCGCCATAACAGTTGGAACTTTTTTCTAATGGTAAACATCACGTGATATAGGTACAGAATGCGTGCGAAGTTACACAGGATACCACATCCCTTCCTGACATTACAAAGTGTGTTACTCAAGCATAGTCTGAAATAACAACAAACAAAATAAAGTTTCCATGCGTTAAAGTGTTTAGTCAAGTTTGAAGTGGGTGATATCTCTGCAGATTGTTCTTTCATCAGTAGCTCGTCTGGCTGTGATTCTGGAGCCATTTATCTCGTGTACATCAATTGTAGAATACCGGATCGTATGGCGTGCTCCATTTGTTTCTTTTCTCTTGCTTGACCAACACGTAGTCACCCAGCAGAAGTCTTCCTTGTCCTGTGTTTCTGCCTTCTCGGTTCTGTATAATTTTCTGTTTGTACACTTCATCTCTCTCATCTATGATGTCGTCCTTCTCAGATCTCTGCACTTTTGGCTGAATATGATCCAACTTGGTCCTTACGGTTGCTACTCTCATTGCCTCAGAAGGGGTGATTCCCGTGGCTGGAAGTGGGGTTGATCTGTATGCAGTCAGCATGTCCTGTATTACATTCTGTCTCTTTAGGCGGCGTTTTCCTTGCTGGTGTGCAGTCTGTTCCTTCTTGTTTAGCATTTGCAAGAATCGCTTAACTTCTCCATTTTCTCTAGGGTTGAGTGGCGTAATCTTGTGGTGTTCAAATCGTTTTTCAAGAGCAAATTCTTGGAAATCTTTCGAATTAAATGGTGGTCCGTCGTCGCTCTCTATCCTCATTGGAGTTCCATAGGTTGCGAATATGTGCTTCAGTCTCTCCTTGTTGACTTTGAAATTGGTTGAGGGTACTGCCTCTACTACTGGGTATCTAGTTCTTCTGTCAATCAGTACGAGGTTGTCGTGGCCATCTGGGTATGTTCCACCATGGTCGATGGATACTGTATCCCACGGTTGGCTGGGGATGTTTGTCACCTTAATGGGTTCTTCTCTCTTCTCCTTTGTATAGCTACTTGACATTCGTAACACTGGTTGATGGCTGCATCAATCATACTGTTTAGTAAAGGGAACCAGTATTTCTCTCTCAGTAGCTGTTTGGCCTTGGTCTTGCCCAAGTGTCCAAGGTTGTGTCCTAGCTTGACTACTTCCTTCTGTAGGGTTGCTGGTAGCACTATATGCTGTTTTCTGAAAATCAGTCCTTCTGTGATTGACAACTCTTGCTTTACGTGAAGGTATGGTCCCAGGTCTTTGTCTCGCTTGTGCTTTTCCCAGTCTCCCTTCACTATTCTCTTCACTTGTTTTTGCATCACTTCATCTTTCGGGGTTTTTTCTCTAATCCTTGTGATGACTACAGCATGTTCTGTGTTCACGGTCCATCTGCTGATCTTTTCGGTGCTGTCATCTCCTGTTTCAGTTAGTGGTTGCCTGGATAGTGGATAGGTAGTCTAGGGGGTCTGCTTCGTCTTTTCCGGGCTCGTACACCAGCTCATAGTCAACGTCCTGCATTTCCATAATCCATTTTTAGATTCTGGGTGGCATCGTGGCTTTCGCTTCATTGAATAAGGGTAACAGTGGTTTGTGCGCTGTGAATACGGTGAATCTCGGTGCTCCAAGCAGGTTAACTCGCAGTCGTTCTTTTGCCCACTTGATGGCTAGTGCATCTTTCTCGGTCTGGCTATATCTTATCTCGGTTTCAATCATTGTGCGACTGATGAAATGCGCTGGCTGTATACCCTTTGCAGTAGGGCTGCTGATAAGCCTTGGTTGTAGCTTGCGACTGTGCGAAAGATTATAGGTCTAGATGGGTCAAAAAATACTATTGTCTTGTCGTTTGAGATGTTGTCTTCAGTTCCTGAATGATTTTTCTTCTTCTTTCTCCCATTTGATTTTGTGTCTTTCCGGGTCATCTGATAAAGTGGTGCTGCTATGGCCGCATAGTTGCTGATGTAGTTGTCCAAGTAGCCTGCCATTCCCAGAAAACTCCGGACGGCTTCTTTGCTTTCTGGAGGGCTGCATTTCTTGATTGCTTTTACTTTGTCTGGTGACGGTTTCAGTCTGTCCTTGGTGAAGACATGTCCAAAAAAGTCAATCTGTTCTCTCCTGCGGCAGGGTAGGTGCGCTTGACTGCAGAGCGGGAGGTCGCGGGCTCGATTCCCGAGACCGGACCAATACTCAAGGTCTTAAAATAACTGAGAAATGACGGTACTCTCTTTGCTCTGCAAATGACGAGACTCTCGCGTGGCTCGGATGAGCACGTAAAATGGCGGTCCTCAACGAGTACTTTCGTGCTAAATACATTGACACTCAAATAGAGTGCATTTGTTTCCCCGAACTGCCATTTCTCTTTGTTAAATGTTACTCCAAGATCTCTTGCTTGCTGGAGGACGGTCTTCAGTGCCTCTTTGTGTTTTGCTTCATCTCTTCTTCCGAGGAGTATGTCATCTCTTCGGTTCAGGCAGTGGGGTATGTCTCCGAAGGCTCTGAACATTGCTTCATCGAAAACATCTTGTGAAGATTTAGCTCCAGATACTAGTCTCTTTGGTCTGTGATTCCCCCAAGGTGTACTGAATGTTGCTACCTGTCTTGTGGCAGGGTCTTGTGTCAGTTAGTGATAGCCTTGTCTCAAGTCCAATTTCCTGAAGATCTTTTAGTCATGCAGGCGGTAGATAAAATCTTCAACTATTGGTGACTGAACACATCTACTTCGTTTCATTGCTTCATTAGGTATTCGCATGTCACTGATCATCTGAGATTCTAATTCTTCATTCTTAATATGTAGGTTTAGGCTGCAAAACTAGGGGTCAGCACCATGTGATCGTTTCTCCGTCCGGGACTTTCTTAAATATGTTTTCTTTTACTCCCTGCTTAAGCCATTCTTTGAGAGGTTTTTGCAGATGATATAGGACTGGGCGTGGTCTCTGGGTTACTGGAATGGCTTTGGATCCATCTCTAGCTTGACTTCTACCTCTTCGCCTGTTCTCTTGTCTCGGAAGCATCCTATCCCTTGAAATGTATCATTGTATTCACTGAGTAACGCGTTAATGTCATCTGGTGGCTTCACTGACTTAATTCTAAGCTCATTGGTTTCTTTAAGTGTTCCGTCGGGATCAATCTTGATCATTCCCAGTTCAGTTAGTGTGTTCTTGTTTGGGAGTGGAGGAGAATCCATTTTTCTCTCGATCACTAAGAACTTGCTTTTTGCTCCTCGATTCTTGTTTCGAATCGTTGTATGAAATTCACCTTTAACTACCAGATCAGACTGGAGAGTCTTCAATGTGTCTTTGCTTGGATCTAGTTCTCTGATTTCCTTTGATCTGTGTTTTAGGGCTCTGAATTGATACTCGTCCATCACGTTCACACTTCCCTCGCTGTCATGTTCTACATGCGTACTCTCCTATTCTGAGAAGAACAGTGTCCTGAGTTCTACCTGATCTCAGTCTCTTTGCTCGATGGAAGACGTGTCGTGCTGTCTGCTGAAGGTAAAGTTAGCAATCTGATACGCTGCTTGCGTCAGTGTCTGTCTTGGTTGATTTCTTGACTTTCTCTTTTGGTGACTCTATGCTTGTCTCTTGTCTGACCCTAGCCTGCGAACAGCAGACGTATTTCCGGTCGTAGAGGAAGAGAAGCGACGACCGGAAATATGGCTGCTGTTCGCAGGCTAGTCTGATCCTGATCTACAGCACGTTGCATAATGATTGTATTTACGACACTTCAGGCACTGCTGTCCCTAAGCTGGGCAGTTGCGTCCAGGGGGATGGAGTCCTGTTTTCCCACAGTATTGGCAGCTGTTCTTGGAGCTTCTTACTTCTTTCTTGTGTTCTTGCTTGCGGTTTTTTTGCGGTGGAGGTTTCTTGTTCGGTTATCTTGGGTATCTTGCACCTCCTCTAGCATCTCTCTGAGATTTTCCCCATTGCTATTTCACCTTGGACATTTTGTAATCTTTTTTCATGTTTTTTACTTGCTGGTTAATGTCTTCTCTTTAGCTGGCTCCTTCGAGGAACTGGTCAAGTGTCCACCTCTTCTGTATGCTTTTCCTGATAAGGTCGTTATTCTTGATTCTTTGTATCAGCTGTTCGAGGATCCTGTCGTCGGTCTGGTCGCCGAATTCACAATCTTTCGCCTTCTTGCGTAGCCGCGCTGTGTAGTTTACGATACTTTCTCCCGGTTCTTGTCGTTGTTTGCTGAGGGGTTGTCTGGAATCTTGAATGAGTTTATTCTAAGTGATTTTCCGAAAGTGACAAAACTTCAGCGTTCGTCAGCAGTAATAAATTATTTATTATTTATTTATTCTGTTTGAATAACTAAAAAAAACAAAACAAAAATCAACGATATAACGTGGCAGTAGATACAAACACAATGCTAGATCGTGCGAAACGCCTGTAGTTTACTGAAGACTTTTTCTTGCAAGAACTGATGCAAGAACTTGATAGGGATATTCTTGATACCGAAATACCCTGAGAAGCTTATTGTCTCAGCTATTAACTGGGTATAGTGTAGTATAGCTGTTTGTAGTATACTGTAGATGTGTAAGCGTTTGTTACATGTTTATTTGTTATATATAACATGTATTCGGTACATCCCTCCGTGAACGCGAACTGCAGTGATGTTATTACAGTCCCTCTATTTTTCTCGCCCTCTCCCCCTAGAGATATAATCCCCGACGCCCGCCTCCTCGGTATATTTGAAAATCAAGATGGCCGCCATAAAATGGTAAGACGCGCTATATCTCGACGATCTCACGAAAAAATATCCAGATATTCTGCAGGATTTTGTGCATTATTTTCGGCGTTCGAGATCAGGTCAGGTACACAGTTTCATGGCTGCACTGACCTGTCTACGCTCTGTAGAGACAAATCTCACACTTACTTGCCCCTCCCCCAAATCGTTTGTTTGTAGTCTCCCAGTTTCTGGGAGACACGTGACCAGCGTTTTCCAGGGTCTCTCTCTCTCGGTCCGTAGGGCGGGTAGGAGAGAACCCTGGGAACGAAGTTGCAATTACGCAAGGGAAATCCACGTCAAGCATTATTTACCGGTTTTGGAGATTGGTAAACTGACAAAATTTTGTAGGAATTCCGCCAAAACAGCGCATGTATTTGTTCGATTAAAAAAAAATATAAGTAAACAACAGTTTTTACTTTTTGATATGCACTTTTGATGAAACAAGAAATAAGACGCTTAATATCACCAGAAAATTAAGTATTCGTTAGGCTTAACGAGCCATCCAGCTGCAGTTGTAAGTAGAGAGAAGTGTGACGTCACGTTACCATGGTAGCAAAATTTCTGGATCCCAACAATAGGGAGCTTAAGCAACGACGCCGGCGACAGCAGAGAGAACTGGAAAAAAAGCAATAGGTTTATATCTGCAAAACAAGAACTGTGTACGTGCATCACGCTTTTTTGTACGTTTCTTAGCCGCCGTTGCACGACTGCGACGTGAAACTTCCTAATTTCACGCACCAGCTTCTTGACTTGGATACGGTCCTTTCGGATTTAACCCCAGAAAATTTCGCCATCATTTGACAAATTAAATGAAATTGAATAAGATCGTCGAAGTTTGAAACAGTACGAATTCGCTTTTTAAGTGATGTTTTCGGTTTGTTGTCATCCAGAAATTTTGCTACCATGGCAACGTGACGTAACGACTTCTCCTCTCTATTGATTAGCATAACAGAAATCGGTTAATTTTCAATAAGACTGTCGGTGAAAATTAAACTTTTAATAGAGGGTGAATTTACAGTGAAAAAGATGGTAAACTAATGCGATAAACAGATGTATTGCCTTAAAGTTTCTTTCACCGCTTGCCTTACTTCTCTGATCTTCCAACTGTAAAGCAACGGGTTAAGCGACGAGTTGAAATACAGTAAAGTAATCGTTAAATGCAAGACCGTTGAAGCCGTTTCTCCTAGTTTAAATGCCAGCAATGCGACGGTTATAGAGAACGGCAGATAACAAACAACCAATGCTATCTGCACCCACAGTGAACTGTACACTGCCTTTCTATATCGAGCTGTGTTCAGGGCAGCGGCTTGATTAGGTTGCCCTTGAAAAATGTGGTTGTGTACTTGATTTTGGTTATGCCGAAGAGTGATGAAAATTTTTGTATATGAGAAAAATGAGGTAACCAGGCATACAAGAAATACTGTGCCATAGAGCCGTGAGTGAACAGGACTTAAAGGTTTCCAAAAGTGGATTAATGGGAAGACGATGGACAAAATCCACATAACAGCTACAATGATATATGCTCTCCTCAAAGTTAAAACTTGCCTATATCTCAGGCCAAGCATTAGAGCGAGAAGTCTGTCCAAGCCTAATGCAGTTAGTGTCAATATAGACACCGCAGTTACAAGCAAACCCGAGAGAGTATTTGCCAAGGCTGTATAATAACAAATATTCCATTTTTCGTTCACTATCGAAATCCACTGGGCGACCTTAAGAGGTTCCACGATGATACCAACACAGAGATCAGTTATCGCTAGGTTACGATACAGGAGTTTGGACGGCGGATGAAGTGAAGATACTTTGTGTAGAGCAACTTGGATCAGAGTGTTCCCCAGAAATGCAGCAACAGAAAAAAAGACATTTATTGCTGAAAGAAAGATCAGCTCACCATGTGCCCTTCCTGTAAATGCTACCGAGCAGGACAGTTCTTCAAATGCCTTTTGGTTCAGTTCATCTTCCGTAAAATTGCTTAGTTCTGCGCACATTTCCGTCTGGTTGCAAGATGAACTGACTACCTACAGTATAGTACAGTTAAAATCCTCCAAGACTGGTAAATCTGTTACCATGGAGTTGCACTGGCGACTACATGGTCGACCAGTACAGCTAAACCAATCATATAGGTTGTTTTCAGTCAACAAAAAACATTGACTGGTGAAAGAAAGATAAGCTCACAGTGGCCCTCCAGTAAATTCTGCCGAGCAAGCCAGTTATTCGGCTGTCTTAGTCTGGATTTTATCTTCCTTGAATTTTGTTAGTTCTACCACTTCTCCGACGACTGTGGGATATTACTCTTGCAAATGTGCGCTCTTTCCGAGTATTAGCTCTCTTTATATAGGTTAAGCTGTCAGTCAACTAATATGCCTTTGTTTAAACTAAGATACAGCTGTACCCGTGGAGAGGAAGTTTTAACGGTCCAAACATGTCAAGCTGCGGAATTTATGATTTTAGCTAACTTAATGAAGACGCCATAAAACCTCGTTTCCATCGGGATAGTAGAAGTTA